GCCGGTTGCCGTCCAAATTGGACCTCCTCGTAGTTAAATAAAATGCTCCGCTAGTTGAGTAGGACCTATAGTCAGGAGGGTGGCCCTTGATTTTGGGATTTTTCGGCGATCGATATCACTTTGGATACCCATGCGTTGTCGGCGTGTGGGCACTGTAGCAAAGGGGCATTGTGTCCCAATGTGAGCCTCGAATGATTTTCGCCTATTATGCAATTTCCAGGTTTGATATGTTCGGACCGTTGTATCAAACCCAAATTTACGTATGTTGTACCTTGTATTTTCAAGATCATATAGGATTTGACGGATCGTGAATCGGAGTCCTGGATACTCCGAAATCGCAAACCCCAGGGCAAGATAAATTTGTAGTTGTCAGATCGTGTGATCGTGTTCAATCCGACTGTCCGATATGGACTAAACTTGCAGGGTAGGTTTAGAAGGGTGCGTTCAACCTATAGGGACTCCCGGATTTGTGATCGAAGGTCGTGGGCCCGGTGGACCAAATTTGGGTAGTTAGACCACTCGGTTGACCGTGAGTCTTCCGAGGTAGTTTTACTATTCGAGAAGTACTAGGACGACCATGTAAGCGAGTCTTGACCATTATTGGGGTTCTCCTAATTATGTTGGGATTAGGAGTTCGTTTTATAGTATCTTATAGAAATTCTTGTATTTTTGTTTTAAAACGTGCATTATTTTTAGTAATTAAATGAATATGCATGAAATATAGTTTGAATGAAAATTAAGTATATTTGTATTAGTATTATTTAATTGTGAATTTGGTTTAATAAATAATGTTGATTATTTTGAAGATTATATAGTTACACTTTGTTAAGTACCATCCCCCAATTATTGAACTTCCCATACGTGGCGTTGGAAATTTTCTGGCGTATGGGAAGAATATATGATTATCTGGTCTCACACACGGTGTTGGAATATTCCGGCGTGTGAGACACTTCCCATACGTGGCGTTGGAAATTTTTTGGCGTATGGGAAGAATATATGATTATCTGGTCTCACACATGGCGTTGGAATATTCCGGCGTGTGAGACACTTCCCAAATGTTGCGTTGGAAATTTTTCTGTGTATGGGAAAAATATGTGATTATATAGTCTCACACGTGGCGTTGGAATATTTCGGCGTGTGAGACACTTCCCATACGTGGCGTTGGAAATTTTCCGGCGTATGGGAAGAATATTTGATTATCTGGTCTTACACGTGGCATTGGAAATTTTCTGGCGTATGGGAAGAATATGTGATTATCTAGTCTCACACGTGGCGTTGGAATATTCCGGCGTGTGAGGCATTATGATTATGTTATTAGCTCATTACACGTGGCTTTGGATTATCCGGCGTGTGATAGAGGATCTGTATACTTGGGTTACTGTTACCTTACTACGTGTGACGTTGGACTCTCCGGCGTGTGGTAAAGTAACATGGAAAGAAAAGAAAAGAGATTATGTTACTATATCGGGGAAAGATTAATGTTTAAATAGGATTATGTTTGGTATGATGTGATTTAAAGAAAAGGGAAAGGGATAAATTCTAGAATTTATTATTTTGTATTGATGTAATTGATTGCATGTTATTGGAACCGGGATTTTGGATGGAAGAACTACGTATGGCTTGATCCCTCGTAAAGGGTACGTAGGTAGCATGTGGTCCCACCCAGGTGCAGTCGCGAACTAAAGATAATTCTGGATGAGTTTGGTTTTGACTTTGTCAATGGTCCTTAAGCTTGTTTGAGAACAAGGCTTGATTGAGTTGGTTTTGCGTTTTCCCGTTCGGCTAGGTGAGTGTTGTTAAAATGTGGCTGTGGTCAAGCGGTTTTGGAACCCGTTTTGGATTTGTTGTACGATTTAGACCGAGTCCTTAATCTACTTGCGATTGTGGTTGGTTGCTAAATGATGGAAATCAGAAATTTATATTAAGTGGTTTACAGTGAGCCTGCATAATTAGTTTGAATTCACTAATTGCATCGTTTCATTTCCTTATTTGATTTAAGACCATTGCCAGTGTTTCTGGTTCAAATTGATTGAAGGTCGGAGGCCTATATGTAAACTATATGATTTATTTGATGCATGCTGCCAGTTGTGGATAAACTGTGTTTATTTAACATGTTGGAAAATTTAGTAATGTCCGTTTTATAGGGGAGATTCTACCGAAATTTTGGCAGAAAGTCTTGTGCCCCTTTTCCTTAATTTGGAAAAGATCCACAGGATTGGTTCTGAATTCTAAGGAATTCGGGGCGGGTCCTGTCAACTAATGCAATTTTTCTTCTTTATGTTACCTTCTCCCTTACAAGCACAAAACAAAAACCAGAAGCTTATTAACAATCACAAATTCAATGAAAGGTAAAAGTCATATAATAGAACACATACCTTGGTCTCTCATGAGAATTGTCTAGAAAGAATTGGTACAAAATTTCTTCTCCTCAATTGGGTCCCTCACACACTAATTCTGGACGGGATGAATTCTTTAGTGTAGGTTTTGTTAATCGGTTGAGCAAGGGCCCTTGTATATGCATCTCCTTAAGAGTCTTGCCCATCAAGAAACTCTCAAGCAATCTTTATTGCAAACCCTAATCCATGTTAAGTAGGAATCCCTTAACCCTTGTATTTTAACTTAAACATGTATACAAAAGTTGCCGGCATATATAGTGATATTAGAGTCCTTAATCAATATTGAATCCTAGATAACCATATGATGAATAGAAGACCACTTTAGGGTATATATTTTATGGGATTTCTTTTTAGTGTTTTTAGATGAGTATATATGTATGTGAAATATATACGCCATAAATAGAAACCCATATAATATATTACGTATTCAAGTAAATTATTCGAGCTAACTTAACGTCCTACAAACCCAAAATATATGAAAACAGAGTTGAGAGAAAAAACATGATTTGACTCCTTTGGAGAGATGAGGGCCTATTATTGCTACGGCTATTTTTATATGCAAATAAAAAAGAGAGGGTACAAAGATTGAATACAGGGGAGGGAGAAGCTTTTCCACCACTCCTCTCAAAATGGGACCAAAACAAAGGAGGAATTAACGGCTGTGTTGCAGTCAGTTTTGAGAAAATACAAATTAAAATGCTACTAGCTGATGTGGGGCATCAGAGAGACCATTAGATTAAATAGATGATCAGGATTTTAGGGCACACTTCAGAGGAGATTGATCCTCATTTTGTTGTTGTGTAATTTCCTCGAACCTTGCCATGCAATTTAACCTTCCCAATATAAAACACTGAAAAATTGAGGGTGATCCTAACACAAAGCACTTTAGCTGGATGCCAATATATATTGTTTTTTGCCTTTCGTTTTGTTTTGCGTAGCTCGAATTTGTTTGCTTTCATCTTTTTACAGTTATTTTCAATATTTATTTGGCCATAACTTCCAAAAAAACTCATCTCCTCAAATGACCGGCCTTTTTTTTTTTGGTTTTTGTGGTTTATATCTAACCATTCTTGTATTATACTTTTAGTACTTCATCCCCCATATTTTGTCTTGTCTTCTATTTAGATATTTTCAATGTGTTTTTGAGAGAGAGAGAGAGAGAATGAGAATGAGAATGTAAATGTAGTATTTAGGGGACATGGGTCTAATTAGGCCCCCTAATTTCACACAAAGTACTACGTTCATATAAGAAAGATAAGAGAGGAAAGACAAAATATGAGAGAGAGAGAGAGAGAGAGAGAGAGAGAGAGTACAATCTAGTAGACGTACCCGTAAGGCGTCCTCATCGCCAACTCGATTTTTAAAAAGGAGATATGAAATAATTCAATGGTGAAGGTTAGTATCAAGATGCGGAGGCGGCATGTGAGAATACAAACCACCATATATATAATGCCACTCTGCACACCCATATCCTCAAGCCTCAATCTTCTTCTCTAACTCTTCCCTATCCACGCACCTGTCTCCGTTTCTCTCTCTCTCTCTCTCTCTAGGGCTCTCTAAGCCTTAAACCAAAACAATACCAAAATGGGTTCAACTGGTGAGACTCAGATGACCCCACCCCAAGTATCAGATGGAGAACCCAACCTCTTTTCCATGCAGTTACCCAGCGACTCTGTTCTACCCATGGATGCCACCACTTCTGTCAACCCTTCTCTACGTTTGGATGAGTAAGTAGCTCTCATATCCTTTTGTTTTCTAATCAAATCAAATCATATAGCTTGAGGGGATGCATTACTTAACCAATTGATCAGAGAGTGGACGGTGAAGATGAGAAAGGCTTTTCATGTGTTTGATGTGGATAAAGATGGGTCGATTTCAGTGGAGGAGTTGGGGTGGTGTTGTGTTCTTTGGGTTTGAGAGAGGGAAATAAGGTGGAGGATTGCAAGGAGATGGTTAAGAAGGTTGACTGGGATGGGGATGGTCTGCTTGATTTTGATGAGTTCAAGAGGATGATGAAAGGTGTAACCCAAAAAAACTTGGGCTTAGGAGCCTTAGCTGTCTAGCGTATATCTAGTTAAGTACTCATGAATTATTCTTCTTGTACGCTTCTCTGTGGTGACTTCTATATCTGCTTCTGCGATGTCAACAGCTGTATGGAGGTCTGGTTAAATTTATTGGGTGCACCACCAATGAACTTGGCGATGCGGAGGATAGCTAACTCTAACCTGAGATCCTTGAGCTGGTTCTGGTGCACCTTCATATATGTATGTGTGTACGCGCGTCACTGGGTTAAGTTCTAAGCTAATGATGTGGCTACATCACCCTTTTGATCATGAAAATGAAACCCAGTAGTGGCTGAATGTTAGTTTTTAGTTTTTTTTGCTAAGAGAGAAAAAAATACTATTAACTTGTAGTGTTAATTAGTGGATCTTCAAGTAGGAAGAATTAGTAGAGAAATGGAGGGACTAGGGTTTTTTTTTGGTGGTCAAAACACAAAATTATTAACTCAGACAAAGATTAACGTTATTACTTTTATAAAATTTCTTATATTTTAAGATTATGCATATTATAGTCCAAGATGCAACGTTAACAGTTCTCTTATAGCACAAGGGAAGAAGAAGAAGAAGAAGAAGAGGTTCAGAATTCTCACGGGGCACTGCACAAATATAATTTCTTTCTGCTGGCCATGCTGGGCGCTCTCCTCCAACTGAAGCACGCAGCCGCAAACATTGCCTCTCCATTTGTCACGAACTACGTTACTCTACTCATTTTTATTGTTGACTTATTTGTTTACGTGGCCTTATTGGTGACTATCGAGATGTTGGAAAACAATCCAGATTTGGCTGAATTCATGAACAACGTTAGCCTCCTGTCAGGAGTTCTTGCCTCCGCTTTACTATTGCTGATCCTCATCCCGGCTCTTGGGTGGCTCACCCTCCTCTTGTGGATCACTTATTTTGTGAAGGACGTTGTAACTGTGAGATCGTATATCAGTGTCGCTCTTCATGTCTTTGACAGAGTGAAAGAGCTTATGAGTATTCAGGAGCAGAATAATGGTGATCAACAGGAAATTAGAATGGAGGAGGGGCAGAATCAGCTGGGTGTTACGTAATTTCAGTTTTCTAGCTCTACGGTCACCTGGTACATTTTGCACACGTGTTATATTATAAATGGATATTTATTGATATTATTTTCTAAAATAAGGGAAAATAAATCATGTTATTCACTCATATTATAACACATGTACAAGACGTACTACGTGGTCATACTACCGTAGTATTCTATAATTATTGCATCAGATTGGTGGGTGTACGTGTTGCGCGATTTCAGTTTTTTACCACATTTGAAGTAAGTATATACCTGTAAAATAGTTACTATTGTCATAATTATAAGTTTTGCGGCCGAAATAAATAAAAGGAAATGCTTGTAAGTACTATATACACATTTACGTTTCCAATTTAGTTACAGTTTGATTAATTGTTCATTATCTATTTGTTTTTGGACCAATTCCCTAACACAACACATGATCATGACCGAACTATATCACATAACCGTATTCTAATACCATCATATATAATAATTTATCTCATATAACCGCCCAAACATGCTTATATTAATTAAGTTCAAACTCCCAAAAAAAAAATTGTAGAGAAGGAAAAAGTTGATTAAATGAGATTTTAATCTGTCTAGGTCTTAAAACAGATCCAATAATAAAACACTTATATTTGAATTCGATCCTTGTTGAATATGACTTGATAAAGTGACATCTGTTAATGTTGATTATTCAATTATTTGGCTAGCAAAAGAGATGATAGACTTGACAGAATGATGCCTTTCAGAAACACAAGGCATAGTCTAGGAATTAAGTAATTAGGGACAATCGAAATGTGTTTACAGAGAGAGAGAGAGAGAGAGAGAGAGAGAGAGAGAGAATCAAGGTATAGTATTTGGGGGAATGGCTCATCTGTTGTCAATAAGAAAACGAACAATAACAATACAGATCACCACAAAATTAACCTGAGCACTAAACCAAAGGGAAACCCCACCAGGATTTGTGTAGGAGCAATATCTTGCGCCGCCATATTAATAACCTGCAGTCGTCAAAACCAGAATATTAGAATTGAAAAAGATAGCCATGAAGGTCATGATGGCCAGAAGACCATTTAATCGGCAACTAACATTCAGATTTAGGGGTGACAAATAAGATCACCACTACTCAAGCTCTCGAAATGAAGGAAAAGCACAAATACTACTCTGAGACAAACGCGTACAGAAGATGGGAGATCAATTATATGAGAATATTAGAAGTGAGGGCGATATAAGCAAAGCAGAAGCTGCAAATACAAAGTTACCTAAGTAATTATATATATTTGTGTGCTGGAAATTAAAGAGAGACCGGCCATGCTTTTATTATATTTCTGAAATATTGCTTCGCAAAGAATGTGGGCTTCGATTGAACATGCCAGCCCAGCACTGCTCATCTCATTTTCTCTTGTATGCCAAACTACAGACAGATTGAGCCCAAGCAAATGAAGCAAAGTTTAGGGGCGTAAGCTCGAAAGTACGTCGTATAACTACAAAAATGTTACTAGCTAACGTGGCATCATAGAGACCATTAAGTTAAATAGATGATCATGATTTTAGGGCACACCATTAGGTTAACTTATGTTTTTGTTTTCTGTAACTTCCTCGAGCCTTGCCATGCAAGGTAACCTTCCCAATATAAATACAGAAAAAGGGAGGGTGAACCCTCTTTGTTGCGCGTAGCTCGAATTTGTTTGTTTTTGCTCTACAGTTATTTTCAATATTTATGTGGCCATAACTATTTCTTCTTCTTTTTTGGGTCAATGGCCATAACTATTTCATGAATTGGGAATTTGTCTTTGTTTTTTTACCACAAAAACAAAAACAGATGCTAATGGCTAATTGGGAAATTGTCTTTGTTTTTTTATTATCATGAATTGGGAATGTGCTTATATCTTACCATTCTTATATTATACTATATATTATAGCACATCATCCCACATATTAGGAATCTTGAATATCCATTTAATTTAATGGTATTTGAAAGCCACGCCACCATTTTTTTTTCTCCGAAAACACTATGTTTGGAGCTAACTCATGCTCTCAAAATTTTTAACTAGTCGTTCGTTTCCTGCTTGTGGTCAAAGTTTCATTCTTTCTGATGAACCAAATTGAGTCTCAATCTTCGCTAAAGCCACGTCAATATTGGGTTTGAATAGCATCACGTGCAACAGCATCATGTTTATGTTAACAATTGTTAAATTTGACATTTCATGTTTATGTTATCGAATTAGAGGAATATTTGAGGACATTATAAAGACAAGGAACATACATCATAAAGACAAGGGCTATTAAGGACAAATGATAAATCGTATACGGACATGGTACAAAACATTTGCCTATCAATTCCATGCTTGTCGTGCATTATGGATTTATAACCAGAGGTATTAATAAGCAAACGATAAATTCATAACTGGGGCTTTTGATTTAGCTTGGTCGGCCTTTGTTAGTAAACACCTCTGCTTGCAAATTAGAGAAAAAACCAAAAACATGTTTTTGCTTTCGTCTTGTTACAGTGCTTGTGTTTTGTACGTAGGTTTTATGTTAATATGTATTTTTCCATATTATGGACGAATTTGGCATTGATATGCTGTGAAAATAATCTTTTTTAGATTTACTGTGAGAGAAATCAGCTGTTAATGAAAATAGTTTTACTTTTGGTAAAAGCGATTTTAGTGCAACAATCAATTTATAAGTATTTGGTAAAATTGTTTGTAAAAGTGCCATGTTGGCTTTCACAGTAGAGTTCCTTGACTATTTGACCAACATCGACCCAAAATTAATTATTTTTTAACTGTTGATTTACCACGTCTAGCAGAAGTGCTTGTGAATTGCGCAAGGGGCAAAATTCGTAAATGAATTTGGTCCATCTACCTCAATCTCTCTACCATTAGAAGATGCTGCAACAATTTTATCTCTTGTGATTGCTCTCTCGCTGGGCCAATAAGGCCGCTGAGGCCGTTGCGGCTATTGCTAGGAGGACGAAGTGCGATAAGGTTTGGCTTGACAGACCCCCTTCTTCCCTTGTGTTTGTTCTTCTATTGGATGGTCTGCCTTGCCCCCCATGTTAATCTCCTTCTTTTAGCTAGAGGCTGACGTGCTCCTTTGGTGACATCCTAGTTTGTGGCCCTCTAGTTTCTGTTTCTTTCTGTTTTCTTTTTCTCTAGCATGTATGTGTTTTTTTTTTCCTGCTTGCTCTTGGGCGGGTCTGTCCCCAAGGTTGCTATCTTTTTCTTTCCTTGTTTCTGTTCCTTTTGGGTTATTTTCCCTTCAATGAAGTTTCCCTTTCGACCAAAAAAAAAGTAGACACACGTAATTTCGTGTCATTTTTTTGTTTTTGTTTTTTCAATGAAAATAAAAGAAAAAGAAAAATACGTCCTTGCGGAGGTCGTCAAATGGATTTTAAAAACGAGAGCAAGCTGTCAGAACAGAAACAGCGCAGGAACGAGATTGATAGGAAGCTGAGAGAGCAAAGCAATACGCAAAGTCGTTATGGATGCCAACATTTCTGTTAACCCTCCTCCTCCTCAACGTTTGGAAGAGTAAGTAGCTCACTTCTTTTTTAATTGAAGCAAGCAAATAATATTATTGCTCGAGGGATCGATGCACTTATATTATACATGAACATAGTTTTACTTGTGGATGCTGCTGCTGCTGCTGCTGCCTGCACGAAATTATATCAATCTGTTTAGATTCAGACGAGCCAATTGCAATCTTGCAAATGGACTGATCATATGAATATTATCTAGGAAGATGACCTGTTTGTGGTTTTCTGTTTTTTTTTTTTCTTTCTGGGGGAGACCAAAAGCTATATCATCAGTTTCATAATAAATTCTACAAAAGCTAGAATTTTGTATGCGAATGCCGGTGTTTCGATCGATATAGGCTTCCCTTCTACGACTTCCAGCGACAACCCTGACCTCTGAAAGCTCAAACAATTAAAGTATGCTCACATCCCTGACAATCTATACAAAAGGGCCCGCCGGCGTATACTAATTACAGCTGCTGACCATCAAATACGAGATCGTAGCTAAAGGATCCGACCGAGAAACCGCAAACAATCTAACTCAGAAATTATTGTTTACCCATAAAAACGTTTAGCTTGATCTCTTGAGGACTATGGTAATAAGTAGCAGTCATCTTGTATGTTTCTCAGGCGGCGACTTCTATCTGCTTCTTGGGGAGAAACCCAAGATATCGCCATCATCGGCCATGGATAGCGTTACAAAAGATATTGAAGGTGGTACCATCAGCTTTTCAGGTCTTTGTGGTTTAAGGTGAGCCCAAGAAAACCCATAGCGTTTAGGAGCCTTGGACGTTTAGCGTACTCATGAACCTTCTTGTAACCTTCTCTATGGTGATTTCTATATCTGCTTCTTGTAAGCCTCTCTGACCTGAGATCCTTGAGCTGGTTCCGCCTTCCTCATCTGTCTCTCACCTCATGCATATATATATGTATGTGTGTCTGCGTCTTACTGGGTTATGTTCTAGGTTAACGGTGGCTACCTCACCCCTCAGATCATGAAAATGAAACCCCAGTTGTGGCTCAATGTTTTTT